AAATTTTAACTGCCAGACACTGGGGGTGTGATTCAGCAGTGAGGCCCTGGATTTCATCCCCACACTGCAAAAATGAATAAAACAGATATAAATTTAAACAACGAAGAGAATAAAATCACTTTTGAAGAAAAGCAATGCAAGGTACAAATTTAAATATCCACACAAAGGAAACGTGAAAATGATTTATGCTAAGGACTTCTGAGCATGGAAGTATCTATCATAAAAAGGCCTCGCCTTCCATTTTTTAATGTTTTAAATTTTTTGAATTATAGATGAACAATATGGTACTGGAAAAAAGGATAGATATATAAACAATGGAATAGAACCGAGAGTAAAGAAATTAAATTACATTAAAGGTGACCTGATTTTTTTTTTTGGCTTTTTGGGTCACACTGGCAATACTTAGGGGTTACTCCTGGCTCTCCACTCAGGAATTACTCCTGGCAGTGCTCTGGCTTGCCTATATTTTAAGGCATAGCAGCAATACAGCAATCAAAACTAACATGAATGAATTTGCTCAAAGCTTGTACTTCGAAGATCACCAGCTGTGGATCTGACTGTGAACCACTGGGGCAAATCATGTTTAGATGGCAGCACTCCGGTGTCACCAAGTGGATTCCAATAGGAAACATTTTTCATAAATAAACTGACAAATTGGGGGTGTTTAGAGAAGAGGATAAATTGTTAGTGGCAGGAGGGCATGTAAAGCTACTGTCTGAAGAAATAAATAATTCCCTGACTTGATCTTTTCCTGGGGGGCAGTGGGAGAGATAAAATATTGATCCTGAGCACCACCCAAATTAATTAATAATCCCACAGGGAAAAAAGAAGTGATAGCTAACCATTTGGTGACTGATAGAGTTTACAGTTAATCCTGGATTGGGGTCAGCTAGAACTGGCCACAGTGAAGGTAAACTGGTTAGTTCTCTCTGCCTGGACCATGCAGATTATCTAAAACGACTAAAATTAGGACCAGAGCAATAGTATAGTAGGTAGGGCATTTGTTTTGCATACGGGCAGACCTAGGGTTTGATCCCCCACACCCTGTATAATCCCCCAAGCACATGGGAGTGATCATAGAGAGCAAAGCCAGGAGTGAGCCCCAAGCACCATAAGGTGTGGCCCCCAAACCAAAATAAATAAGTAAATAAAATTATAAGAGAAATTATAACTTTCATAAGGTTGTTTTGAAGATTTTGGACAATCAATGTAAAAATTCTTAGCATTGTACTCTGCATATAGTATGCTCTTCAAAAACAGCAATTAGCTAGTAGTAGCACTGCACTGTCCTCCCATTGTTCATCAAATTGCTTGAGCGAGCCCAGTAACGTTTCCATTGTGAGACTTGTTACTGTGTTTGGCATATCGAATACATCAGGAATAGCTTGCCAGACTTTGCCATGCGGGTGAGATACTCTCAGTAGCTTGCCGGGCTCTCTGAGAGGGGCAGAGGAATCGAACCCGGCTATGCCGGGCCAGCCATGTGCAAGGCAAACGCCCTACCACTGTGCTATTAAAAATAATAATTAAAAAAAGAATATATTTCTTTTGAAAGCACTATACAAATGATAGAAATGAAGGAAATCATGTACAGCACAGTTTATGAACAATAAGAGGTGAAAAAAACTTGAAATTTATTCTGAAAAAGAAAATCTTATTTGATTCACTTTTATCAAAATGCTAGCATAATATCTTTGTACACAATGCACTGAAAAACAAACTTAACTGTAATAAATCTATACTACTAATAACTTTTTAAGTTGTTAACAATTTGGTGTAGGGGGCCCAGAGAGATAGCATAGCAGGTAGGGTGCTTGCCTTGCATACAGCTGACTGGGGTTTAAATATATTCAGGAATTACTCTTAGTGGGCATCCCATTTGGTTCCCCAAGCACTACCAGGAGTAATTCCTCAGTGCAGAGCCAGGACTAAGCCTTGCACATTGCCAGGTATGACCCCAAAACAACAACAAAAACCAATTTGGTGTAGAACCAACAAAAAACAGAAAAAAAGGTCTTAATGGTAGAGGTAAAAGAAGTCAGGGTCCCTAAGCCACCTTAGCAGATCTGGATCAAATACTTCTAGACTTCTTATTGAATAAGATACATAAAAGCTATTGTGTTAGGGGACCAGAGAAATAGTACAGTGGGTAGGGTGCTTGCCTTGCATGTAGCCAACTCAGATTTGATTCCCAGCACCCTGAGCCGGATGGTGCCCCAAGCCCAAGAGTGATTCCTGAAAGCAGAGTCAGGAGTAACCCCTGAGCACCGCAGGGTGTGGCCCCCAAATCCAACAAAACAAAGCAAAAAAAAAAAAACCCTATTGCCTTAAGAGTTTTCTGTTCATGCCAACAAATGTGCTTGCAGTAGATACAAATACAAAATTCTCACATTAAAATAAGAATTATAAAGAAAATCCTCATAATCTAACCACTTAAATATTCTAAAAAGAACCTCAAAACTTGTATTTTTTTTTTTAACCACGAGATGTCAAAAACCACATGATGATGAAAACTGAAGGGGGATGTTTGAGTGTGGTGACCACTCCAGAGGCTAATGCTAAACAAAAGTCAGATAAGGTTGCCAGAGGTGTCTCCTAACAAAACAACACATTCTGAAAAAACAGAATCTCACCTCAGCTCCTTCTGGTTTTAATTGTAACTGTCCTTCCTCTGATAATTTTTCTGGCCTTCCCCTTCTTCCCACTTCTAGGTTTTGTGCTTAAATTGTTCCAGTGCTTCACTATCCTTTTACCATACTTGCATTACCCGATTCTTTGTCTTTCTCAATTCTGTTTACTGGCAGAGACTTTATCTGTGTTGGCAGCACGGAGCCATGATGCCTGGTTTTTAAGTAAGTCCCCATTACCCCAGGGCAGAGCACTTTATATGCCACCCCCTTTGCGATGTACACGCTGATGGATAATTTGATATTAACATGTCAACTGACTCCGTTAAGATAATTTGGGGACAGGCTTATTTAAGATACATCATTTTATGTAGCTAACTATACCCCCCAAAGCAGTGAAACAAAGGGCAGTGCTTGGAGAGGTGTTTTGTGAAAAGAATTAAGGTAGTTGGGGGCGGGGGGAAGAGGCGTGCATAGAGTAATTTTCCCTCTGGATTTGGTCGTGGAAAGATAGCAATACTATCTGGCTGGCGCTGTTATGAGGTATCCAATTTGCACTTTTCTTTGCTGTGTCTGAACAATATTGCCGTGGGGTCTGCAGTGTTGCCCCGGAAGAAACATCATGGTGCTCACAATCTGTGCTCCGTACTGAAGACGGAGAAACCAACCAAGGTCAGCGAAATGCAAAGATTCTTTACTAGACTACAGTCAGGTCGGCTTCTGACTCCCAGATCCCGTCAGAGGGTCGCTAGTGCCTTTAAAAATAATCCCCGTTGCTTTAATAGCACCAGCACCTGTCGTCTCGGCTTCCGAAAGGGAAACGCTATTAATTTCTCCTTCATCAAAGCCGAATTTCGGGTCTGTCCGAACCATGTTTTCTTCCCAGCTGCAGCTGTCTACACCACTAATGCCAACACGTTGAACAGTGAGGCACCTTACCGCATGATTCCAGTAGGCCACCGCGCCCAAATACGCGAAGAAAGGCCAAACAACGTCAAGCGTTGTAGACAGCGGCCACATGGGTGGTGTCTTGGCCGACCTCTTCGCCGCACCTGTGGCCACGGCCTGCGCCTGGAAACGTATCCACGGAACTCCAGGCTCTTCCGAGGCCGGGCCTGAGAGCTGCCATCTGCAAGGCCTCAGCTACTGAAAGAGAGGGACAGTTGACCCGAGCGGTGACTTCCTTTCCTCTGGAAGTTTCCAGAAGCGAGTCAAGTGGCCCCGTGCGGGAGGTCTTCCACAAAGCAAGTTTTCATTCCCGCGGCGGTCGAGCAATGCCTTCTGCGCTCCCCTCCGCAGCGCCCATCCCGTGCACCCCCTTCCAGCGCCCCGCGGGTGGCTGCCTGGCTCAGGCTGCACCCGCGTCCCGCGCTCCGGGGAAGTCCAGGAGGGCGGGGAGTACGCAGCACGCATGCGCGCCCGGGGAGCCCCGGCTCTCATAAGGGCTCCCCGCGCGGGTCGCCGAGTCGGAGCGCGCTGCTGCCGGGCGCGGCGAGCGGGCGGCCGGCTGCCGGGCCCCGCTTCTCCCGTCGCCTGGAGGACGGGGACGCTCGCTGCAGAGCTGCCCGTGGAGCGCACCTCCCGAGGGCGCGGCGGCCCGGGGCGCAACGAGCGCCAGACCCAGATTGCGGGGCGGCCGGTGGGAGCGAGCAAGCGAGCTGCAAGCCCGAGAGGCGGAGCAGGGGAGTCGGGGCGAGCCGCCCGCCTGGACCCGCGCCCAGCAGCAGCCGCGGCGGCCGCCAGCCGCGCCGGCCCGAGGCATCGCGCGGGGTGGGGGCGCCCTCGCGGGTCCTGGACGGCAGCGTGAGCGGGGACAAGTCCCCGCGGCGGGGCTACACCGGCGGAGCCATGCGGACCGAGTTCGGAGCGGGCGAGGCTGAGCTCCGTGGATCGCTGCACTTGCTGCCCGGAGCCCTGCGCACGTTGCCCGCCTTCCCGGCCCCTTGGGACCGCCCGAGAGGGGACTAAAGGAGGGGAGTGGTGCGCGGCGCGGGACCCCGAGGTCGGAAGCGCAGCGGCGGACCTTCCGGAGTAGACGTCCCCTCGGGGATGCACGGGGAGCCCTGCGTCCTGGCTGCCGCCCCCGGGAACTGCGGGTCTGTTGCCCCGAGCACTCTCTGATCGTCCCCTTCCTGCGTGTCCCCGCTCAGGGCGTCCCCTACTGGGCACGCAGCCACCCGGAGGGCGGGCATGGCTTAGGAGCCCCTGGTCCAGCCGCGCGGACGTCGCGAACAGACGAACCCCCTAAAGAATCTTAAGCCAAGAGGTCGAGTTTGCAGGAAGCCCCCAGTCCGGGCTCGCCGGGTTCCCGATCAACCGGGGACCTCCCTCGGCGTGCGCTCCGGAGACACGCCGCCCGTGCCCAAGGTGGTGCCATGTGGGGTGGGCGCCGATCCTGCGCCGCCGCCTCCGGGAAGGCCTCCTCAGTCCTGCAGCTGCTGCTGGCCGCGCTGCTGGCGGCGGGGGCGCGCGCCAGCGGCGAGTACTGCCACGGCTGGCTGGACGCGCAGGGCGTCTGGCGCCTGGGCTTCCAGTGCCCCGAGCGCTTCGACGGCGGCGACGCCACCATCTGCTGCGGCAGCTGCGCCCTGCGCTACTGCTGCTCCAGCGCCGACGCGCGCCTGGACCAGGGCGGCTGCGACAACGACCGCCAACAGGGAGCCGGCGAGCCCGGACGGGCGGACAAAGACAGCCCGGATGGCTCTGCAGGTAGGGGGACTGGAGGCAGAGCTACGGGGACGAGAGAGGGGCACTGCCTGGACAGCTGGGAGGGTCCAGGAGGTGGTGCTGACGTTCTGGCCTAACCATGGGTTTCTGTCATTTGGGTCTCCAGTCTCCTGCCCTGGGCCTCAGTTTACCTCTCGGTCAGCTAAAGCGTGGCTTACTTTGGATCTTTGCAAAAACCCCTGCGTTTTGGACAGTGTGGACCTCCGGTCCGGTGACTTCTGCGTCCCTTCCCGTATCTCATTATTTCCATAGGGTTCACTTCTAGGAAAGTTTTATTATGTCTTGGGGTACCCGAGGAACAGCTGAGGGTGCACCCCCTGGCCAGAGAGCTGCAGAGTCTCTGCCACTGCAGAGGTGGCTGGTTCATGTTAGCAGCCTAGCCCCTGGAGGCATCCCTCTCTACTGGTGGCTGACAATTTGGCGGCAGGACCTCTGCCCACTGGACCACCTCCATCCAGCCCAGACTTGGTGCAACATCAGATCAGTGCCTTTGCAGGCTCTCTGTGGCTCTCTGTTCCCTCTAATTCTACATTTGTTCAAATTGCCCAAGAGTTAGCAAATCAAGCCCATCAGTGAATGCCAAACTCTAAAAATCTTCCCAACCTGCCTACCTCTGGACTGTGCATGTATATGTGGGTGCTGAGGATGTTGTCTAGGTGCTGTGAGGATAGAGGGTAGTTAGCAAACATGCCACCTAGGAGCACATCTTCCTCTTGTGCAGCTGGTGATATGAAGGCCAGAACTTTCTGCCAGTGGGCCTGCTGCGGTTGGCACTCCCTGGCGTCCATGTGGACAGAACCTCCCCAGGCCCTGGGAAGTGGGCATTGTTTTTTTCCAGTGCAGCTCTGCTTTGCTGTCAGAGCGCTTTCATTAGCTTGCTTCGCCTCTGGCTCCACCACCTTGTATCCGAAGAGAGGAAAACCGAGGGTAGTTCCCAGAGAAGGTGCCATCTTGAAATGCCTGCTCAGCTTTGCAGGGTGTGTGGTCGTGGCCTGAAGCCCAGAGAAGAGAGCCAGAAGCAGAAGTGCTGCCATGCCAGGGGTGCGTCTTAGACCTCTGAGAAGTTGGCAGGATCGTGGCCGGGTCTGGAGGCAGCCAGCTCCTCAGTTCTGTCTGCTGCGAGAGGTGCTGCTTCATCCTACCTTTACAACCCGCCCCCCACCCATATTCTGTTCTTAATCAGCTTCTCACTGCATTGGAGGACAGCATGCCCAATTAAGTGGTGCTGAGAGGAACCCCACATTCTTTACCCCCTGTGCAGCTATTTACGTCTCCAATTAAAAATCCTGGAAACAGAATAGTTATTGGCTCACCAAAACTCATTACATCGACTTAGACTTGTTTCAACTAATTTTTGGGGTTAGCATTTGGGGTATTTTTGTGTATTTTACTGGTGTTTTACTTTCTCGGCAGTATATTTGAAACTGGTGTCTTAATTGAGGGAGAGAAATCTTTATGGCATGCATGGGGAAAAGCCTCGCTCGGAGCACTGGGGCTAAAGGTAATGAGCCTGAAGTGAGAATGCAGCTGGAACCGGCTGCTGTCAACCCAGCTGTGCTACAAGCTCCATGGCAACTGTCTGCCTGTATGTGTGTGAGGTACATTTCCTTCTCCCTGTAGGATGGATTGTATCTAGGCATGCACACATTTCTGCTCTGAACACATTAAAAGTGAAGGAAATTTCCCATCTGCCTTCCATTAATCCCTTATTTTAGGGGGGTGTAGAGGTAGTACTCAGGCTTACTCCTGGCTCTGTGCTCAGAGATCCTCCTGACCAACCCTATGCAGGGCTGGAGAGCAAACTAGAGTTTTCTCCACTGTGCCCTCTCCAACCTCATGCCTCCTGTTCATGTGTTTGACTTAAAACACATTATAATTTCTCTGTGACTCCAGGTGGGATTGTTTTCTAAGATATGGCTTGGACACTATCAGAGCCCTGCTGGGAAGGTCACTGCCCCAGAGGACAGACAGATAAAGGACATTTCACAAGTCTGCCCTCGAATGCAGGCCTAGTTGGGCTCCTTCTGATGTCCTCCCATGACCTTTGTGCTGGGACTGTGATTTTCTAAGATCCATGAGCACCATTCCCTGGTCTTGCGCATTTTTCAATCAAATAGTCAAAAAGATGGGCAGGAACACATCCAAAGATGCAGGTTTTCTGGGAGTACCCTGCAGAAGTGGGGGGAGGTTTTCTTCATGCTCCTTCCCATCTGTGGTACATTTAACCTCTACAAACCCCATGTGCCAATCTCCACTGATCCCAAAAGGTTGCTTCTAAGTCACCACATTTTAAATGGGGTTCATTATTGATGGGAGGGGAAATTAATTTTTTTGTGGGGTGTCTCTCTAGCAATTCTTTGGAGGCTGGGATCCAGGGATCCTGTGGGATCCTGTCACACTTTAGACCTGCAGTGCTGGGGCTCCAAACATAGGTCTTAGGGGGTGCTTCTGATGCCTAGGATTGATCTAGGTGTCCAGTGCTTGCCAAGGCATCTTCTCCGGCCCTTCGAGCTGTCTCTCCATGTGACGTTTTTCTTTCCTTTATCTTTTATGATTTCATTTTCCAGAATAAACCTCACCTGTTAAAGCTCACTGCCATTGCTTGGCACTTTGCTGGCATTGCCTGCAGTACACAAGGAATCCATCTGGGATCCAGGTAGCTCACTCATGTCCACAACCCTGCTTCAGTGCCTTCCTGGCCTACAGCACGCAGCTTCCTCCTGGAACAATTGCCTCATTGCTGCCAGTGCTTCTTCTTAGTAGGTTGGTGCATGCTGAGCCATGGCTGGGATAGCTGCTGTCTGCACAGGCCACTTCATCTTGCCCTGCTCAGCACCCCATGGTGGGCCTCTACCACCCAAACACTGGCCATGAGCGTGGCAGGAGAATGTGTCTGATTGTTTTTTTACCCTTCTTTGACCTCTGTGTCATATAGACTCTTTGCAGATGGTTGTAGTCTGGTCTAACGTTTTAATCTATTTGCCTATCAAAGAAGAACACACACACAACACACACACACAGAGTAAAAGAAATTTGTAAGGAATGTAAATAACTCTCTGGAATAAAAAGAGGCTTTTACATAATGTAAGCTAATTTCTTTGCAGTGCTACAACTAGCTATTAGGGCAGACTTCAGTTTGGGCAATTCAGTAATTACAGGAATTTTACAACACTAGTAATCTGAAAACATGAGCCCATGTCTTTGCTAAATTGGTTATTAGCTCCAATCACTAATGCAGTTGGGAGTTCATTTGTAACTAGGAATGGTTTTGCTTGGAGACTCGGGGCCTACCCTCTGTCTGAGGCCTGGACAAAGGGTGATGCTTCACTGGGGGTGCTGAGGTCCTTGCATTGTGGGGTTGGTGTGCCCCACCACAAGAATCACAGTTGCCTTTCCTTTTCCCATTCTCTAGTCCCCATCTACGTGCCGTTCCTGATCGTCGGCTCTGTGTTTGTCGCCTTCATTATCTTGGGCTCCTTGGTGGCTGCTTGTTGCTGCAGATGCCTCCGGCCTAAGCAGGAGCCCCAGCAGAGCCGGGCCTCCGGGGGGACCCGCCTGATGGAGACCATCCCCATGATCCCCAGTGCCAGCACCTCCCGAGGTTCTTCCTCCCGCCAGTCTAGCACAGCAGCCAGCTCCAGCTCCAGCGCCAACTCCGGGGCCCGGGCACCCCCAACGAGGTCCCAGACCAACTGCTGCTTACCCGAGGGAGCCATGAACAACGTATACGTCAACATGCCCACGAATTTCTCCGTGCTGAACTGCCAACAGGCCACCCAGATCGTGCCCCACCAAGGGCAGTACCTGCACCCCCCCTACGTGGGCTACACAGTGCAACATGAGGCGGTGCCCATGACCCCAGTGCCACCCTTCATGGATGGCCTGCAGACTAGTTACCGCCAGGTCCAGGCCCCCTTCCCTGCCACCAACAGTGAGCAGAAGATGTACCCAGCTGTGACCGTGTGACTCAAGGGGCAGGTGGGGCTCGGACCCCTTTTCCCGATTTGGGAAAGTGGGGAGGATTCTCCACCAGGAAGAGTCCGCTCTCATCTGTGATGTTCACAGCATGATTCCTTTGGACTTCATTTGCCCCCGGCCTGTCTGAAAACATCACTCTCTGCATTAGTGTTTCTGGATCTGTTTCATATCCTCCTCGGGCATGACTGGTTTGTGTTGGAGATGCCCATTGCCTGGAGTTTTCTGTGTTGTTGCTGATGTTGTTCAACAGATATGCTTGAGCCTTTAAGTGCCCTTGAGGTATGACAGTCAAAACAATTTTTGTAAACTGATAAGGGTTTTTGTTCTCTCATTATTTCTTTTTGCCTTTTTACTGTACAAGACAAGAACTCTCCTTTCCCCATCCCCACCCCCACCCCCCTTTTTTTTTCCTGGAACAAATATTTTTCTTTTAATAAAGCACCCAAAGTTCAGGGGAAGACATAAAGAATGCAAATAGTATAAAAGGAAATTCAATTTTAACTTTATGAGATTAGACTTTGATCTCAGAATGTCACAGGCACATCTTAATTGCATTGTAGCATATATATGTATATATATATATATACATATATATAGCCTATTTTGTGTGCTTTTTGGGGTCTATTTTGTGCTTTAAAAAACTTGGTGAAGAGATCTTATTACCAAATGATTTTCTACATTGCAAAGATACTGAGAGATTGTATAGGTACTTAAATAATATGACATTTTCAAACTCTGGGATGATTTCGGTCTTGAAGTCGTGGGTGGTATAGTAATAAAACCAAGCACCACCTTCTTGACTGTGCTTCCAATCTTCTCTTTTACAGTGACATCTGGGAAGAAGTAATTTGGTGTTTTGTTTTTGTATTTTTAAATATTGAAAACATAAGCTAATCTGCAATTTCTTCAGCTTCTAATCGTCCCATGTGGTAGAGTGTGACATTTCTCTCTGTTAGTGTTCAGATACTCATGTCAGGACTCAGCACTGTATAGTACAGTAATTCTGGTTGTTATAAATGAAGATCATCATTTCAGTTTAGATTCAATAATAGCATTTTCTTGTTATCCCTATAAAAATTTAAAAGAATGTTTACATAATTTTAGTAGAGTTCTTCAGCAATAATCTGAGACTTGGGATGATATTTAAACCACAAATACAATTTGCTCTACAAATCATAAGGCTTTTTATGCTATCATCAAAAAGAGTTCATTTTCCGGCAGTAGGGACTCTTTTATTAAAGAGAGATGCTTTGCAAAGAAGTATTACCTTTCTGCCCCTGCAAAGTTCATTCATATTTTCCTCTCCTTTAGAGTCCTTACAAAACACTGCATCCATTACAGTGTTCTAAATTATAAAATTTAAGTGGATTTGTTTATTGTCAGCTTAAATTTAAGTATGTGCAAGTGAATTTCCAACTGCTAGCAAAACCAGTATTTCTAATTTAACAAACAGTTGCAACTATGGTCTGAGATATTTTACATATATATATATCTATAGTTTTTTTAATCTACCTTTCATCTATCTGTCTTGTGACTGAATAATGTAAACCTATTGTTGGCAATTGGTAGCAACAAAGATAATCATTTTTAAAAAAATAACCAAAGGCAGGGGGAAATCATTTTACTTAATAAATATTTTATGGTATGAATTCCTAGGGTACTTGGGTTTTTATTCATTTTTATTTGACTTGGCATTGATGAATAATTCAGATGGTCTATTATAATAATTCCAGCAGTCTATTATATAATACAGTAAAATCCCTTTAAAAAAATCACAATTATTGCTTTCTAGAACCAAGACCCTATCTTTAAAAGTAAGGAATATCTGGGAAGTTGAGATATATATTCTGTGTGTCAGTTTTATTTTATCTATTCCATGAGAACTATTGAAAACCCCAATGAGACTATTCTTTTGGGATTACTAGTGCATTTACAGGTTAGTGTGTGTTCCATTTATTTTCCTTGGTGGGTGATTCTGACTTATCTGAGAAGTAAAATTTCTAGAAACCTTGAGGTAAAAGGGACCCTAGAGATCACCCAGCCTATGGATCAGCCAATTTAATTTTTCTTTGGTAAAAAGCCAAAGAGTAAATACCGTAGGCTTTGCATGCTGTGTACTCTGTAGCCATTGGAGCACAAAAATAGCATAGGAGCTACGTGAACAAATGAGTATGGGCCATATTCCAATAATATCTTATAGAAGGAATCTGATATTTGAATTTCAGAGTTTTCGCATTTTCCAAGATATTCCACTTTTCATTTCTCCCACATAAATTTCACACTGTAAAGACTAAGCTCTAGAGTTGTCCAAAAAAATAAAAAAGGAGGACAGGTAGGGAGGCCAGGTTTGGCCACTGGGCCACAGTTTGCTAATTTCTCATCTTATCTGCTCTGACCACATAGGAGTCCTCTGCCACATTATTGAAGCCCTTTTAGAGGCAGAGAGATGAGTGCTCTGGGTTCTCTTCTACAGAGACAATGAACTTTTTCTTCTCTTCTATATGATCATTAAATGTTATTATTAAAAAATCCAGTTTAATAAAGGACTTTTTTCACTTAGTGAATTTTACTTTTGCTTTCCCAAAACATTGCATCATTAGAGGCAACCATAGATGTTTTGAAATGTGGTTAAAACTGAAGAAATTTCGCTAACAAAATAAAAACATGTTCAAATACGTGGTTTTTAAGTGAACCTTCATTAGGGCCCTGAGATTAGTACTAGTGTGATTTACATCTGGAAGAAATATTTCACTCTGTGCAGGAAACACAAATCCCTTACTAGTTAGGAAACTGCATGTTTTCTTCTGTGATTAAACATTCTGTATTGGTTGGTGATGGTTCCAGGTAGCTTCTGAGTCACTGTGTACAGGACAGAAAGTCAGACTCATTGGTTGTAAGAAAGAAGAAATAAACCAGAAAGAGCCCCCAAATTACACATTTCCGGTCATTTCTACTAGGTTGGAAGAGTTAAAATTTAACAAGAATACCAACATTCAGAGTGACAAGAATACATTATTACAAATACAGTTTGGTTTCACATACAGTTCACACATGTATTCTGCAGCTGTTTTTCAAGTTGGTTTTCCAGTCACAATATCTTCTGAAATGCTTGATTATATTTTATCTATGAAATCTACCATTAAGATCTCAGTGGGTTTTAATATTTTTTTAAATTGAATCACCAAGAATTGCAAAGTTACTCATGATTGAGTTTTAGGCGTACAATGTTCCAACACCAGACCCTTCATTTCTCTCCATCAATGTTCCCAGTTCACCTCTAGCCCCCAAACCTACCTCTATGGCAGATCCTTCTTTTCTTTGTTCTTTTCTATTTTCTTTTTGACACTGGTTTACAATACCGTTACTGATAGAGTATCACGCATATAAGATTTCAGTTTTGTGCTCCGAACCCTGCAAATCCCTCTTTACTTCACGTTTTGTGCTAAATTTGGCTGTAAGTTTCCTCCAGATCCATTTCCTGAAGAAACCATGAGAGCTAGAATAAAGTTGATGAGGGGTGCAAGTGTTCAGAAAGAGACTGGGCACAAAGGAGAAAGTGGAAACGGCAATGAAAATTGGGATTGAAAAGGGTTTGGAATGATTATTCTAGACTCTTGATTTTGGCCCTATTAGAGTAATACACATTTAATCCCTTTTTTTTTCAATGTATTGTCTCTGTTTTTAGGTTGACTATGTGACCACTCACTCCTACCACACCTACAGGGATTCATTTGAAAGGTTTAGATCCGAATTTCTGTAACCGGAACTAAACTTCTCTAACTGTGATGTTTAACTTCTTTAGCCTCATGTTGGATTATAGAACTGAGTGGGGGGTGGGTGCATGGGTGGGTGGGAGGACAAGAAAAATAGGACACTTGTAAAAGGTTTTTCAAGCACAATCACCAAAAATTCACAATCATCCACGGAGTGTATCCAGGGTGTCACTGGCAATGTTCATGGATGTTGCATTTCTCAGACAAAAAGGGATCATGCTTGTAAAAAAACATTTAAAAAGCTCTGGTTTAAGTCAAGAGTTTCCAAAGTGATCGATACCTCTGCTAGGGACAGAGCCAAATGGGGTGAGTGGGGGATGGTAGTAGCTTCTCAGATGCAATGGGGGTTGTTTACTGTGTGTTCCCTTATAAAAGGTTGATTTCCAGGAACACTAATTCTTTTCTGAAAAGGGGCAATAGGCCACATATATTTGGACACCTCTATGTACAAAATCAGCGTACATACTTATTTCTCATTGCTTCCTAAATCCTTAAATGGAATACCTGTTTCATTTCAGTGAACTTGTGAATTGAGACCATTTTAACTTTGCCTGGTCTTTCTCTGGTCAGGATAATCACGAAAATATGTGCCATGGATTTGACTGCCCTATTAGATGTCCAGTCTACTTGCAGTCTGTGCTTCTGGGGGTTGTGTGAGCTTACTGGCATTGGAAGGGGGCAGATAAATCAGACTGAACTTGTCACACATTGATTCACGGAAAGCAAGCTTCTCAGGCAACTTGCCAGTTGCTCCCAGCCAAGAAAACACTGTATTGGCACTAATGAAAAAATGGACTTTCTAGGATTTTGAATTAAATCAGATGCAGAATGATCTCTGTCATATGTGGGCTCTAAAGAAACAGAGTAAGAAAGCAACAAATGAGCTAAGGCCACAGAACTGGAGAGCTGATCCCCAGAATTGAGCTCGCTGCCTGTGAGGTGGTAAGGTCAGAGGGTCATGGTTGGATGGGTGGATGGAAGCAGACTTTCTGGTGGTGGGGTTGGTGTTGGACTGATGTATGCATGAGGCAATCTTTGATGGTATTGCAAGTCATGGCACATTAATAAAAATGAGGGAAAGAAATTAAAATGTTTTCAAGATTAGAATAAAATATTTTAAAAATGAAAATAATGTGATCATGTCCCCATTTTGCTTATTTCCTTTGTCTCTTAAATAGAAGGGGGAAAAATCAAAGCTTCTGTGCATAATTGTGTATAGAAGGAACCAAAGGCACAGAGGTGACTGAACTTTTTTTTTAAAAATCTAGAGAAAGTAAAGGCCAGAGAGATAGTACAGTGGGTAGGGTGCCTGCCTTGCATACAGCCAACCTGGATTTGATTCCCGGCATCCTGTACATTCTCCTGTGCCCACCAGGAGTAATTCCTGAGCTCACAGACAGAGGTAACCTCTTAGAATCACCAGATGTGGCTTCCCCCACCAAACAAACAAACCCTAAAATCTGGACAAGTCCCTGGGGTCTCCCAGAGAAGGAGCTGGAAGCCCACCCTATGGGAAGTGGTCTGGACTGGGCCGCTGGGAAGGGC